ATAATTATAAATTTTCTCATTTGCGTGGAATAAATTAAAATAACGTTAATGTGGGTGGCCTTTCAGCAATGAGAGTGCGTCTTAGTTAAGACGGTTATTTTCAGATTAAGATTTGTTCTTAATGCAAATGAAGATATGGACGAGTAAATACTGCTTTAGTGGAGAACCACTGTCTGGATGAGGGAAGAAAGAATGGACTTAAAACACAGGGAGAGAAAGCGAATAAAATTTTATATCTTATATAAAAGACGAAAGGGTTCTCGCTGAACACGGCGCAATTTGTAGCCAATATTATTTTATCGTGGTACATTTTTTAATTACTTCGCTCCGACGTGCTCAACCTTTCTACACCATTGACTCGGCAATCCGGTGTCTTATTAAACAATGGCGGATGGCATCCAAATACCTCGGAGAATCGTATTTTACACTTTCCACACAGTCATATTTTACTTTTCGCACTTTATACGACAACTTTGTTTCATTGCGAATAAATCTTCATTTACTCAATTAACTTTTATTTAGTTTACCACCGAAGTGAGATGAGGATCTCTGCAATTTAGAATATATTCATGTAAGTTTTCCAAATTAAAAATATAAACTTTTCTTTTGAGATACTGCTTATTACAAAATTTTAGACATTGAAAATAGCTTACTTGCAAAATCAAATGTTGAAAAAAGAGATTAGTCTCAAAAATAATAAGAATTAGCAAATGGAAAATCACAATCTGGTTAATGCAGACTGAAACCTATGTTATTCTGAATGCAAATAATTTATTAACTCTATATTTTTTAATGATAAACTTGTTTTTCTATCTTGCTCTATTCAATTTCTTTCAGTTAATATTTCATTCTCTCATTTCATTGCTTCATTTTTTCGCTTTATTAGTTCCTGCAAATTACCGCAGGCCAAAGAAATCAAGAAAAAGCGATGAAATTCGGTGCCAGGGTGTGCACGTCGAAGCGAACCGATGAAATTCAGACGAGGGATAATTTTTTAACGTTATTACCCGTCGGGGTACGTTGCGAATCGGTTCGCCACCGCCCTGTCGACGCCTTCGTCTCTGTAGCCACCCACCCTTCGTTGATTGGCAATTTCGCGTCTTGAATTTTTATCCAGCTCAACGGCACGAAGGGGGTGGAAGAGAGGTTCCGCGCGCGCGGCGCCGACAACCCCTTCGTTTTTAAATTATCCGCGAGATTAATCAAGGCGTCATTTTTCACGTCCAATTTGCAATAGAAGAGAAGGCGCAGCGGAGGGACGACGAGAGAGTCGCCACGCAGAAAAGCAAACCTTATTCTTAATTGATATATTCTGAATTAATTAATCCTTCCGCTGGGACGGTCCAGCGGCGGCCAGCGAGTGCAACTGGATAAAAGGGGGATGACTGGTCGGATCCCCTTTACTTAATTAGTGCCAGCCGTAAATTTCTTTCATTGGACACTTTTTTCTTCGATTATTAGCGCATACATCTTCCGGCAACCCCTTATTGGCTTGGCAACCCTTCCGTTGGATGGCCGACATCTGCCGACCGACGTTAAGGATATCGAAAACAGTCGAAAGATTCGGAAGCTGTGTTATAACAAAAAAATACATACACATATCATTGTGTCATGTATTTTGTCAAGAATTTTTATCGCATAAGTTTGTGCGATATAAAATATCGGAGGATCAAAAATTAAACATTTGCTTATATAATAAATCAAAATTGATTAATATATGTAACATACTTTTCATCAAGAATTATATGCAATTATTATAAGCTAATAGTATGATTCTCAACTATAAATATATCGCATGATCTTGTGATAAAAAGAGTGACTTTCGCGCAGTGTCCCGTGGGAAAGCGTGCCTTTTGCGATGTTAGAGACAAAAGGAAGCAAATGGACGTGAAAAAAGAAAACAGCCTTATGGGAAGCCAAGAGAGAAAGGACAAAATCGAATGAAAGAAGGACGTGGTGATCGGCCGATGAGGGAACGGGAAACATCGATGTAAAAAGCTTGGCGACAAACGCGGTTGCCGCAGCCACCAAGGAGAGATCGTCTTTGTCGGCAATCCTGCTAATTAGTTTAGTAACTTATCGACTCTTCGCCGCACGTTCACTACCACGAAATCGCACACGACCGATGAAACTTAACATTGACGGGTTACCATATGGTCGAGATATAATTCAGATGTACCCTTGAAATTAATCCGATTCCCTTGTAATCAAACAGAGAGAAAAGTAAGATAAAGAACGCGCTAGAAAATGAGAACAGAATGATTGGAACGTGAAATATAAACTGCGCAAAATAGTTAATTTCGCGGAAATAAAACTAATCAATAATAAAATACAAATTAAGTTTCTATTACTTTTCGAGGAAAGATTATGTTGTACTAATTCTATTGACGCAAGATCAAGCTGATGGATTTATCAATTAATTTTTCATAATTTATACCAAGAATATATTTTATTAGAGAATCACGTCAATCAATTAATATTCCTATAAAAGCAATTCTATCTACAATTGTTATTACAATTACTATTTTAATAAATCTAAAAAAGGTCGTTTTTGGCGATTTGGAAAATAACAATTGACTTTAAAAACGTATATTATTGTTCCCTCTTCTTAAATATTTGCCACTAATAGTGAAAGTTACTTTCTAAATAACAGTGGAATCCAGAAGATGGCAAGTGCCACGTCACAGAAGCTGTGTTAATTGTCCTTATTGCCCTGTCTGCCTTTGACATATTAGTGTATAGGCGGAGGCGTTGGCGATACTGAACGTCGACACGGTGGATAAACCGGAAACGGCAAATGCACGCGACACACGGCAACATATCGGAAACGGCGATGCGGCGCAACTTGTTGTGAGCATCTACCTATTTCATGATGTTTCCAAGCCTTTAGGCAAAGTTTCGCTCCCTGATATTCGACACCGTCAGTGATCCTCAATATACATTATCGATTTATCTATATATCTATATTTGAATATTGAAAAAGGAAATTTATACTACAGATTATAATATACACAGTAAGCTCCACTTTATATTGCCGATAATTATACAAAATAATAAATGAATAATTTATAAGCTAATATTAATCGATATATTAATACTTTAACTATTTTCGTTCAATTAATCTTATAGCATTATGAGATATTAAAAGTATCAGAAAACAAAATTTCAGAAATTAATTATATAAGACCATATATTATCGCATCTGAGGACTTTGAAAACAAGTATAGTCAATATGATTGTCAAAAGACAAAGCAAATTTAATAATTGGAGGTCGTCATATCGAGCTTTCGAGACGGACCGATGAGAACCACTCCGGATCCGGTAACGAACGGGAAGTAGCGTCGGTGCGTTGACAATAGTAATTATTGTTGATACTGAAATTTCAATTTTGCAATTGATGCAACGTCTAGAAAGCATCGGTGCGCCTGTGTATACAAGGACGCAGGCTCGTATAAAGCCCGTGTGTACGTGTGTATATACACACACACGTGACCACAGAGAGGCAAGCGGTAGACTGCGGAGACGCGAGCCAGCCAGAAACCATCATAAAGGTTCGGTTCTCCCTTTGATACGCGTACGGTAACGTATTTAGTTAGACATATCATTCGGTTTCCATCTATTGTACTCCCGGCGAACAAACTTCCTATTTGTTTGAACGTTGTAGCCCACACACACCCCTCCACCCATCCGATTTTACCACCCGCGTCCCACGTGGCCAAGGAATGAGGCGTGCATGCCACTTATCAAGGAATAAGCTCGCTATTGTAATTACCTGCAAATGACGTTTTGCCTCGCGGTGAAGTTGCAAACGAAAATTGGTCCTTTTGCTCGGATTCGTTCAGAAGTAATAATCAAGACTGCCATCTGGTGTGTTCTCATTATTTTCTGATTTTTTTTATTTATCTTCTGCAAAGTATATACAGAATCGAGTACTTATAATTTTATATATTTTTTTAAATATTTCAACGAAACTATTTTTTAATAAGACTACCAATTCTCTCGTAGAATTAACATAAACTATTTATATCGCACTTTGTTGAAAAATTTATATTAAAATCCTCTATCAAGACATTTGATTTTAGACAGTTGACTGAAATTTATCTCTTAGCTTAGTCAGACTGATGGTTGAAGTCTGGTCACTTCAAGAATTGACCACTTCTTGTTCATCTTTGCTCGATCTGCGGAATCGGGAGCACTTAAGTTTACTTAATTATTGCGTAAACAATTAAGAAGGACTCGCTCGCGTCGGACATCTAAGTGATGGTTAAGTCTGAGAGATTCCCGAGACGGTTTTATATATATCCGCGGGGTTCTTAATAGCAAAGACGACCCGACTAACGACCGACAGCGGCATACCGAGTCCTTCGGACTTGCGGGCTACGTGCCTCAATAGATTCATCGAATACTATCGAAGGAATTTCGCAAACAATCCCGACCAATCGACACACAATCTTGGGAACCGCTCCGCGGATCGCCTCTCGAAATGTACGCAATCTCGTTGGGTTATATGTTATGATATCGGTTCACCAATTATCGGACAGTCAAAATAATGATATCAGAGCTATTCTGTAACTTTTCAAATGCATGCGTAATAATTATATACTTAATATAATATTTCGTAAATTAATTACAGAAAAGATCTGCTGAAATTTTCTCATTCGATTATTATTCGCCTAATTTATTAAATCAAATTTATATTAATCAAAATTTGTTTAATCTTCATACTTATATATTTTTAAAGAATATATTATCAAATATTCTATAATATTTTATATTAAAATTTTATATTAAATATTCTATAATAAATATTCTATTGTACAATATTTTATATTAAAAAAAATAAATATAGGATATATATGTGTATTTCAAAAAAATGCTTTGCACGTGTAAATATTAATCTTTCAACTTATATTTTATCTGTATATAATGACCTTTACATTTTTCGATCGGTTAATTTTGCTATGGCGGTGTCGAATCATTAATATGAATGCAATTTTCAGGTCGACCAAATCGAAGAATCGAATCCGATGCCCTTGCGAATAGTGACCGGTGTGAGAAACGCGTCGGTCGGTCTTAAATCAAGGAGGCCCTAATTCCAGCAAGAAATCGTCGCGGGGCGTTGTTCCCAGGATCAGCTGGCCGGCTGACGGCATTTCTCAGACATACCCATCGTACCTCATCGACCGGTTTCGACTGGTAACAAGATAGGCTCTTCCCTGATGATCTCTGGCGAACCTCAATACATACCTCTACAATTTGCTCCAATTTTGTGAACTGTCGTGCCGCAATTGATGATTTATGCGGATTAATACTTGAATGGATGATTGTAAGTCTGTCCAAATTGACATATCGTCAGAAAGATTATTTTATATGATATTTCATTCATTAATTTAATTTACTTAGCATCTAACAATTTCTATCAATCAATTCAATCTTTTAAAATATAAACGAATAATATATTACACGTAAAGCAGGATGGATAACTCTCAAAAGGATATTTTTTAAAGAGTCAAAACCGATTTAAAGAAATCTATCACAGATATATCCCGGATCTCAAGCATATGGTATACGCCTCGTTGGGGAAATAATTAGCGCGATTTAATGACATTAAAGAAAAGTCGAGATTCAAGGGCACAGATGCGGCTCAATCAATGCCGCATACTCGGAGCTGCACGCTCGACCTAGCCAAGGACGCAGCCAACAGTCACTTGCATTCTACATGTTCTTGTCTTATCTGCTGGTATAATGCAGGTGATCCCCTCTGCTCAGGTGAGCGCGACTCAGGAAGGGTGACACTGAACCGACGACATTTTCTGGATGCGCACGCGGTGACACTCCCGCTGTCAAGCTCTGCAGGAACTCGGGATACGCGAACACGAGCGGAAAACTTGATCGTAAAATCCAGTAGCGTGGAAAAATAGAGAACGCTAAATTGTGTGTGCAATATCAAAACTTTTGTGATGTTTCTTTAGAATTTTGCAATTTTTTCATACTCTATGAACGAAACTTTTTTATAATATTAGAAAACTTATCACGAGAACGACTGTTTATGTTGTACGAAATTATCACGAATTTGCAAAATTATGAGAAACATAGAAATGCAATTATTTCTTGTTTATCGATTTTCTCTCTCTTTCTCTCTTCGAGGATTTGATTATTTCAGTTTCATTTCTGCGCCAAGACGAGCAAGATTATTCCCCGCCGATTTCTCGCGAAGATATCGTCTGCGCGATATCAAACCTGCGCTGTTCGTACCGAATGTTCGCGGAATCCGTTTTCCTGACGGATTAATCCGCTCTTCGGGCGCCGAATCCATTTGAGAGTATCCTCGCGGCGTAAGTAGGACGCGGCTTAAACCCTTCTTTCTGTTTCCTCCATTCGACCTATTGTCGCAGAGCTAAGCACAGATTTATTATCGCGCTGAAACCTACTTCTCCCCCTCCTTCTTCTCCTCGTCGTCGTAGATACCACCCTTCGCTGTTTCCTCCTCTTCCAACAGCACTCCTTGCTAACCGGTCTTAGTCTCGTAAGAGAAATACATTCATCGAGTATTCTATTAAGAATCTGCACTCCTGCGGATGAACGAGCGAAATAAGGTACTTCCAACGTCTCCAGTTTCCTTTTCTCTACCTTTCCTTTCCTCTTTCGTATCCTCGCCCTGGCCGCCCAATTCTCTCCTCTCTCGTTCTTCTTCCATTAGTCGAATGATTTCAATCCCTTGCCTCTTACGATGTCTTACCTCGTTTAGATCACCTCGAAAAAGCCAGATTATTTCCTTTTGCGATAGAAAATTCTGCGTCACGTGATGAGATTTATTAGATAATTTTCACATGCGCAGTTTGCTTTATGTATATATTTTCTTCAATGATATGAGGTTTTGTGCGATAAACTGAAGAAAATTCAATAACTAAGAAAAGATAATTAGCCATGTACCTTCATCATGTATACGGCATCTGCGATATTATCGGACATCAGATCGCTATAAATGAACGATACTATCGGCAACGTTCAATCGAGCGAGCGTCGCAAATCACGTATATCTCGATCTTTATGAAGACTACGTTGCAAAAAATTAATTACTCTCGACTTTTACCGATCACGTCGTCGTCGCGCGCTCGTCATTAATCTCAGGAAATCCCAAATTCAGCCGCGTCAGCGTGCCAAACTCACGTCGAACACCCGGTGCACGCTACCGGATAATGATACGAGACGTGTAGCACGCGCTGCAACACATCTAGAGAGTGTCTTGCGCAGGAGGGTTTCTCGTCTCTTTCTCTCTACGCACGTTCTCTTTCTCTCTCTTTTCATTTCTCGGTCCCAAAAGAGTACAAGATGCAGCTGTTCTTCGCCACGGTTCAATTCAAACTAGTCGAGGAAACGATAATTAGCTCATTTCAATAATTGACAGACCGCTGTTGCGTTAAGCCTGATACATCTGGCATGAGCCGAAACGTTCCTCATCCGCATCAATGACCATCGCGCTATAAAGGTCTTTACAATAATAAAATGTACACCTAAACGCATGCTTATTTCATATCCGAATTGACGTCATCGACAACAACCGGAATAATTCCATTGTTTTCTCTCGTGTTTGTTCGCGTAGCATCATTCTCGGAGTTCAGATGTACATCCGAGTCTAAGTCCTCTTAGTGGCGGTGTAATCGAGACACGTTGCATCTTCTCGCGGCCTTTCTAATACTGTTTTCGCGCGTAACGACCGCGTACGCTATCGCTCGCAATTATTGCAGTTTACGCGGGCACGAAAGGCGCGGCAATAAAATCCCCTTCGCGAATTGCGAGCGAGCAAAAGGATGAAGAAGAAGGTGGATGGCGGAGAAGGGTAGCCGTAGGCGAAGATGACGGCGTGGAGAAAAGAAATCGCGTACGATGCTCTTGAGAACGGCTCGACTTGGTTCGCCTCACCTAGCGCCTTCTTCTTGCTCGTGTTTTTCCCTCTTCCGCGGCCGGCCAGGCAAATTGCACCAGCCGCGTAGGGAAAGAAAGAGAGAGAGAAACGGAGAAAGAGAAAGAGGGAGATGTCTGAAATTGAATATTACCCGCGCCGAACGACTGCGCGCACTGAAGAGGTACGATAGTGACAACGAAGAACGGTCGAAAGATCTTTTATGCACTCCTGATGACTATGGTAGATGATAGCCGGCTCTAGACACGCGACGAGTAATTGGTTGGCGATTCCAATCTATTCCGCGCTCTGAATATATCTCAAGAAAAATGCACTAAGGTACAAGAAAATAAGGTATGCAGATAATGTGGAATATGGAAATAATTGTACTGCTCTAGTTTGATATAGAATAGCTAGATATATATTTGTCAAGTAATATTTCAATTATAAAACAAAGATATCCTTTTGTAAAGAAATATATAATATATCCATATATTATTATTCTTATTATAATTATAGATTTTTACGACTCCGATATATGATTTAAGAATTATTTGATTTGACTGTAAATTTAACGCTAACGTGAGCAAATAAGCACAAAGAGAACACGGGATCTAGATATTTATTTTGATAAACAAAGTTCTAAAACACAGGTCCCATAAGTTGCTCTCATGTCATCGTAGTCATACTAACCGACGAAGGTTTCTTCTTGTAATAGCCACGATATATTACGAAAGTTTCGTTAGTTACAGTTTGACATCTTTATAAGAGCCAAACTGTTTCGAGCCTTTGGGCTCCTGCTATCATCGTTACCACTCACGAGCCATACTTAATAATAATACTACTCGATATAACGCACCATCGGCATCTAATCGTATGTTATGTGTATCAAATATATCGATATTTAGAAAAAAAAGGAAGTAATCGTTTTTGCTGTTAATCTTCAAGATTCCTATAGTTGTGTGAGAACAAAAATTATTTGAGTAATTAATGATAAAAACTGAACAAACGACAGTTGTCACGCAACACATTGCGGATATTCTAGCGCACTAATACTTCAACTTTTATTTTACCCTAACTTAGAGAATATTTCAAGTTTTTTTAATTATTATCCACACATATTTTATTATACGTGAATAGATTAATTTTATTCCATATTTATCTCGTGCAAATTTATCTATTTTATAAAAGAGTTGGGCGATTATATTAAATTTCCTTTTCTTAATACATTCCGTATTCTACATCGCTTCGGCTTGACGACGCGCTGCGCATTCATTTATTATCCCGTCTATAATTACCGTCGTCGATACCATCTTCCATATTATAAACCGTTCTAATTGTCTCGTCGGCGACTTCGTGTAACGCAAACGATCGCAATCGTCGAAACGATCGTTCTTCCGTCGTCTCACGCAAAGTCTTCGATCCACGGCGTCCATAACTCCCTTACGTCGTTCCGTCCCCCCCCGCGGATCAGTCTGCTCTCGCGCGGGGCGAGGGTGGCCAACACGAAACGGCCCCATGGAAGCCTCTTAATCGCACCCCCGTCCGAGTTTCAAAGTTTACGGGTTAAAGACCGGCTGCGTTATTAATGCACGGATTCCGTGATAGCGGCGTCCGGTCAATATATCTCGCGTTTCCGAGCGATTCTTCCGAGCGGTGCAGCTATACCAAGTCCTCTTCCCCCCTCCCCCCCCCCGACTCTATAGTCTTCGATCGATCAGTCTGTACACGTTTTCCTGAACTATGTTTTGCCTGCAAACAACAAAGCAAGAACGTATACAAAAAGAATTGTAATACGTTCCTACGTTATTACAGTATCGATATCTTAAGAGAATGAGCAATAATTCATGGCTTGAAGATATAACGATAAGAAAGTGAAAGAGAGAGAGAAAGAAAATTTTACGTTTAGGCTATTTAGATTATTATCAAAATATATAAAAAAAATTAAGAAGCTCTGTTGGTATAAATAATAAATCAATTTCTAAAAAATTATAACACATATTGGGAGAGTATATATTTTATAAAGAATATTTTTATATAAAATATATTTAAAAAATATAAAAATAATAGATTCAAACCTTTCCTTTCAAATACTTTGTATTAATAAAAACGAATAATGATAAAATTGATTTGTCTGTTTTATTAGTATTACAAATGATGCTGCATACATACTCTTTGCGCTTAATTAAAATATGTTGCGAAAAAACAAAGTCAATTTTCTGACCATCAGAAAACTCGTAAAAATATCAATACTAAGAACGTAATAATACTTGCGACGTATGAAATATTCGAATATTCTTCGAAATACGAGAAAGATATAGCGATGTAGCTCCTCTCTCGCGCTTTCCCCTTATATTTCAATTATTTTATAAAATTATTCTCGCAATTTATTCGCGCGCATTGAAATTAGTCTGTCGGACGGC